TGCTCTATTACAGTTATGGCTTGCATTTCTGTGGGGGGACTCTGATAGATCCTCAGTGGGTTCTTACTGCTGCTCACTGCTTAGAAAAGTAAGTATCTGTTGTGGCCCACACCAACATCTTTTTATCCTAGATAGAAAATCACAGGAATAAAAAAAGAGACCAAATACCCGACCTGAGACGGTTGCAAACAATTAAGAATTCAGTACTGCAAACAGTTGAGAATTGAGAATTGCGTGCAATTTTTGTTTGGCATCACATTGTAAAAAAACCCATTAAACTATTAGAAAGCATCCAGAGGAGGGCCACAAGGATAATGAAGGATCTGGAGGGGAAGACGTAGGAGGAGTGGCTGAGGTCACTTGGTCTGTTCAGCCTGGAGACGAGGAGACTGAGGGCAGACCTCACTGCAGTCTGCAACTTCCTCATAAGGGGAAGTGGAAGGGCAAATACTGATCTCTTCACTTTTGTTACCAGTAACAGGACTCGAGGAAACAGCATAAAGCTGAATCAGAGATGGTTTAGGTTAGATATCAAGAAAAGGTTTTTCACCCAGACAGTAGTTGGGCACTAGAACAGGCTCCCCAGGGAAGTGCTCACAGGACCAAGCCTAAGTTCAAGAAGCATTTGGACAATGTTCTCAGGCACATAATGTGACTCTTGGAGTGTCTTGCATAGGCCAGGAGTTGGACTCAATAATCCTGATGAGTTCCTTCCAACTCAGCAGATTCTATGATTCTATAGTTCTATGATTCTAATTGAGCTGAGTCTATTTGTCATTCATTAAAGCTGAGTTTTGACTGAAAAACAGAGTGACAGTGATAACTTTTGCCAACCTGATTTCATGTGCCATAATAAGGGATTAAGTTTACACTAAAGGTGGCTATCTGACTTTGATAGAACAAGGTGCCAAGTAACATCATAAGTCGTTTATGTTCTGGGTGTGTGTTCATCAGCTCACCATGTGCAATCATTTCCAATAGGTCCTCACGGCCATCTTCATATAAAGTATACCTTGGATTACACAAAGAAGCAGCGTTAGAGCCATCAGTACAAAAACTTGATGTGGAGAAATTGTTCAAGGAGCCACGCAGGGCAGACATTGCTCTGCTAAAACTCAGCAGGTACCCTTTCACCTTAAGCGTTCCTTTGTTCTGAGGGGACAAGTTGACTAAAAAGTGGTTTCTGCTGCTGTTGCAGTAATGTGCGGCGTTTCTGCACATTCCGTTCAATTAGCGATTTAAGATCCTCTCTTTCTTGCCTTTCTGCAGAAGTGCCAGGGCTTCAGAAAGTGAGAGGGCTGCCTTGTTAGGGGAGGAGGGCTTAGGGACACTGACCCAAGGTGGCAACGTGCTGGGTGCCAGCTGCTGGGAGGGAGGCAGTGGCAGCAGAAAAGGAGGAGATAGTGCCTAGAGGAGCTTTCAGTGTTTCTATATGCTTCTATCTTGATAAGGTAATGAGGATTGAAACATGCAATATTAGCAAGAAGGCACTCCATGCCGTTTCTGTGCTGTGGTAGGGAGATTTCCTCTTCCACCGGATCTGGACAGTGTGCAGGCAAAGAGCGTGTACGTTTGATGCAATACCCAGTATGGCCCTTCTTGCATCTCTTTTCACTCATCAGAAATGCTTTCTGTGGAACTGTGTAATCACAAGGAGTATGTCCGTAGAGCAGCAAGCAGATGTGAACATGTGCTTTGGCTTTGATTTGTTCGGCTGCAGTGCAGGTCCAAAACAGATGAAGGTTCAGTGTAATAATGTGGGTTTGTAAATGGGCCTTAGCTGTACCCACCCAGAGGCAAGTCAGATGAACTTAAGTTTTGCTGTGTGCTAAATGTCCCGTTGGAAAGTGAATTATAGTCAGACTGGATGTAGGCAGAGCAAGCTAACACATTTAGCATGTGTTAAATGCCACTAATTCATACCCTTTCTAATAGCTTTGCAATTAGGTTTTGCTGGCTATGCAGTAGTCTAAGTCAAAGCACTCTCCTGGATTTATATAGGTACTTTTTAGTATCAAAATACTCTAACTGTTCTCAATTTCAGACCTTTTCCTTGTGCGTATCGCTTTCTGAGGGATTTGAGCCTAAAACAAAAACAGTTTTGCACATCAGAAAAAACCCTTACCTGAAACAAAGAATGTCAAAGATAGGTGGCTGAATGCATATCAAGTCTTTTTAGAAACCTGAAGGTGGTATCAAGTATAATTGTGCTAACAATTGTTCCTGTTTCTTACAGCCCAGCAGTCATTAATGATCATGTAATCCCGGTTTGTTTACCAAAAGAAAATACTGTGTTAGGAGGAAGAGAGGAGTGCTATGTCACGGGCTGGGGGGATACAAGAGGTGAGACAGCCTTAACACATCTAAAAGCTCAGTGTTTGGAGACTGGTATATACTTGAATCCAAAGTGTATTCTCTTTGTGCCCCACACAAGCTATTGATGAAAAACTTATTTCATCAAAATTCATTAGGTACTGCCATTCTTTCCACTCTCTCCTGCTGATATGGATTCTCCTAAACCACTCAGTAAACTGAAACCCTCTAAACCAACACTGAAAGAGGAGTATGAGACCTAAGGAACCACTAAGTCTTCTCTCTCAGTCCACTATGCTTTTCCTCAAAGTGGGCTTTTATTCTATCAAGGATAGTTTTTCTAGATTTAGGTTATTTCTTGATCACATAAATGTGAGTTTGCTCATTCTCTTAAATGATTTTTCCTCCCAGCCATCCTGGTTCACATCTCAAACAAATACAACCTTCATTTTCAAAACCTCCCACTGTGTCTTGGTTGAAAAGTGCATCAGTACCTTCTCTGCCTCCTTGCCCATCATGCCATTTTCAACTGTTTACTTCCTACCTCATCTCTTCCACAGAAAACTCAAATATAGAGAAATAAAATGGCTTGGGTATGACTCCCACAAATTTCGGTGGGTACTGGATCCACATGGATGTAGTGTGAAAGCAGGAAGGTCAATCAGTGCAGTGTAGTTGTTGATGGGTGGTAGAGGGTGATAAGTACCATAATACTGATAATGCTTACTCTTTTTGGTATATCTTCATATTATGCATGGGAAGTACTATGCACAGTGCATAAACACTATGATATTTTACTGCTTATCCATATCCTGATGTTTGTTTTGTGAATATGATAATTGCCTTTGTCATTCATTCTTTTTTGGTTTTGTTTTCATTTGCAAAGGAACTGCTGGTACTGGTTACTTAAAGGAAACTGGATTTCCTGTAATTGAGAATAAAATATGCAACCGCCCTGAATTTTTGAATGGTAGAGTCAAAAACAGTGAGCTCTGTGCTGGGAATATTCATGGTGGCACAGACACCTGTCAGGTAAGAAAGTCTGTAAGCATCAGAGACACTGAGACTAGCTCAGTTGGTTGGAGCATGGTGCTCATAGTGCCAAGGTTGTGCGGTTTGATCCCTGTATGGGCCATTCACTTAAGAACTGGACTCGATGATCCTTGTGAGTCCCTTCCAACTGAGAATATTTTGTGATTCTGTGGTTTGGTTGTAAGCACATTCAAATAAAATAGTGCTTTGCTTTCTGGGCTATAGAGGCCAGGCCCAGAATTATCCTTGGGATGTGACCATGCAACATGGCATCTAAGCTGAAAAAAGCACATGGATGCTGCTCTTTCCCTTCTCCCTTGTTTGCTGCCAGGAAGCGAGGCAGGAAATTTTCAGATAAGTCTGAACTACAGAGCACATGGTTACATACAGCTGCACAAGCCAGATGTATGTGAGCCAACTTGGATTGACAAATGGTCTGATTTTTTTTCTCAGATCACTTTGCTTGCCTCACTAGACTGCCTCCAGTGTCCAAGCTAGCTCAGTTAACAACCTGAGATATCTCAGTTAGCAGTAAAGGAAAAATGCAATGGAGCCTGCCATGCAGGCCAAACATGAGCCAAAGGAACTACTAATTTCCGAGTGTCAGTACCACTGGATCATTTGGTAACAAGAGGAAGCCCTGAAGATCTCAGGAAAAAGACAGAGAGAGGAGGTGCAGTTTAAGTGAATAAGGTCAATCAGATGCCTTCTCAGCAAATCCCCTTACTCCAAAAATAGATGTAATGCCTGGATGATGTGAAGAGATGATTTTACAGAAGTGTTCAACAACATGCATAGAGAACTTGTGTCTGGCTAGAACTCCAGTGTTTCCTTATAACTTGTGCGGCCCTCACATGTAAGAGGTACTTCTGTTTCTGTGCCTCCTGTGAGAAGGCCACCCTTGCACATGGGTCTGTCACTGAAGGAATCATCCTATTCTTTCTCTGTTTAGGGGGACAGTGGAGGACCTCTAGTCTGTCTGGACCAAGATAAATTTGTTCAACATGGAGTCACCTCTTGGGGCCTTGGCTGTGCCCAACCCATGAAACCTGGTGTTTATGTTCGAGTTTCCAATTATATTCCTTGGATTAAAAGTGTAATGGAAAGCAACTGATCCTGGCTATGGACTGCCCCCCCCGGGAAGAAGTACGCACATCAGAAATACAAGATTCCAAGTGCAATAGTAAAGCTACAATCATTCATAAGAAAGTAAAATAAATATGATCATCCATTTTAAATTGCCATAAATTAATAGTTATTGCCAAGAAATCCAACTGACAGTGTGTTACCCTCTTTCTATATGTTCTATGGTCTGCTATGTTTGGCAAGAGACTTATCCACCTCTGGATTACATGTCAAAAATCACGATCTTAACTGTAACTGGACACATGGATTTTAATTTTATATCAAGTTCTACAATGATGTTTTCTTCTAAGGTCATAATTTCCCAAGATGTTGTGCTTCCAACAAACAAAGAAAGGAGGAGAATTTTTATTTTACATGAATTGTCTGAGCCTCTTACCAGTTTGACGCTACAGCCCAAAGAAGAATCTCACAGTACATGTCTTATATGCATGCGAAGTTTTATTAAATACATCTTATAGCATCAAATATATGGGATGGAAAAAAAAAAGAAAAGAAGCAAACACATTTGGTTTGTATTTTCATATTTTTTATTGACATGGACATCTATGTGTCAGCAAAAATACAAATGTTGCATCAAAGACATAAAGCAGTGAATAAAAAATAGACTCGTCCTAAAGTTAGTCCATAGTAAAGTCAGAGAAATAGCTGACAATCCATGCTGCAAGTAATGACAATGCATTTAACATTCTATAAAATTGTGTTGTCCATAGTACCCATTTATTTCATTGTATAACTTTATCTGACTACGTAACTGTTAGATGTACATTTTTCTTCTCTAAAAGAAAATCACGTACACATGTCTGTGGATACAAGAAATGAAAGCTTAAACCTTTAGAAATGCTTTCTAGGGAAAGCTCGACTCATACTTGCCAAAGTCAAACACTTGCTAGCTATGAACCCCTGCTCTCATCCTGCACCCCTTGCATGTCAGCTAGGGAGCACTCTACAGGCATGTGGAGACTCCTGGCTCTGCATGGGGTCCTTTCTGCATCCCCAGGGTGTGCTGAGTGTACTCAAGTAACACAGCTACTTCCTGGGGTGGGATTTGTCTTGTCCATTTTCTGCAGTGTGGAGGTCCACTCCCAGGCATGCCAAGCTATGTGTCATTTTTAAATTGTCTTAATTTTTCGTAGGTATGTACATACAAAAGAGATGGGTTACATCCCAAGAGCATCATCTTTTTTTTTTCTTTTTTTTTCTTTTTCTCCCCATAGCCTTAAAGGAAGATGAGAACTATAAAGCATAGTAAGGTGGCAGGATGATTTTTGAAGCTTTTGCATCTGGAATCGGCTCTACATCTGGAGTCTGACTCTGGGAGATACAATCTTCTCAGGGCATTGCCTTCCTGAGTGGGAACAGCTCTGATAAAGCACACTGCACTCACCTATCTGGTCAGCAGTGTTCGCTGAGCACAAATATCCTCCTGTATATTTTCCATATATATTCACTTTGATCACTAAGCTAGCCAAGAAATCTGTACAATACTTTCCTGACAACAGAAATTCTGTGTTGCAGCTTGGTCTTTGATTTGTTAAGCTCTCAGTAGTGAACTCATGAAGGCATGGTTAATACCTTGTTAATTCTCTGCCTTGTAGACAGAGAAACCAGTGGCCTTGCTGTCCTTCCCAAACTATCTAGAAATGCCTGGACATGCCTGAGTGGCTACAGAAGTGTCATTTCATAGCCTTTCCTTCTGCGAGAGTGTCAGCGGCAATAAAAATTGCCACTTATCAGTAACCATTTGCACAAACTAGATGAAGTAACCCAGTACATTTGGTGGCAGCAGCACATTTGAGCCAAATAGCACATTCACCTTTTTGTTGGTCCAAGGAACCTCTTTGGTGGTGGCAAGAACATAGCTCCTGGGTTTCTGTGGTCAGGTTGTTCATGTGCCTTTGGTGATGGCAGGGTGATCCTTTGTCTGCTGTGTACCCCACATCTCTCACTGAGCCTCTAATGCAAGATAACTGTAGCTGACAGTGTTTGGTCCCTACTTGAAGAGGTGCCTCCCACTGGGTTAACAGGGTCACATCAGTCATTTTAGTGTCAACCCGTGAAGCTCAGAAGAATACTGATGTGCCTCCTGAGAAGTTTGTAGGACTTTCCCATATGTATAAAGTGGTTTGAGGCACATACAAATTTAGAATAACTTTTTTTTTTTAAACCAACATCCTGTACAGTGGTCTGCATAACCTGGTGCATGCACCTCCGTGCAGCTGGTTTCCCCTGGGGTTCCTCCATGCTGAAGCTCTCCCTCTGCTTCCACCACCTCATCTGTCCTCTCTCACAACAGCTTAAACCCAACACAAAGGCTCATAGAGACGGAAGGATTTTTTGACTTAATTCCTCTGTTAGGGATAAGACTTAGCACAGGAGCAATTACCAAATACAAGGTTCACCAGAAGCCACTACCTACTATCATTTAGCAGTCAAAACATATACAGAGGCTTTTTTCTGCTGTCCTTTACAAAATGAATTTTTAGCAAATAAATGCATCACATCTGATTGCTTCCCCCTGACTCTCCAAGGGTCATGCCTGCGGTGTGGGCTGGCTGGGTGCAGGGAAGGCAAGGCTGAGTTCTGCACACAGGTGCCTGCACCCTCCACCCTGCACTGAGACACAGCACCTGGCCAGGGCAAGCCCGCAGCTTCCAGTTCAACACTGGTCTCTGCCAGTCAGCCTTGGGACATTGTCTTCAGCTATCTACAGAAGACTGTTGGTGTAGGAGAAGTTTTTTCCCTGTAGCAGTAGCTCTAGTTTGGGGTTGTCTTCTAGATTAGCCAGATACATTGTGAGATGCTTGTTTAGTTTCATATCTTTCAGTCTTTACTGACTTCTGCTAAGCATCCCATTGACCTTTACTGTGCCTCAGAGGAAGTTAGAAACAGCCTTGAAAGACAGGCCTTTATCACTAACTGCCTAAAGTATGCAAACATTAGCCTGAGATTAGTATTAAAGGTCCTATTTTCCTCCAGCAAAGCTGGTGATAAGGGCAGTTGCTGGGAAAAGGCAGGGAGAGTTTGGAATTGTTGAAAGGCACAGTATATTCCTCACCACAGGAAATCCTCCTGTGCAGGCACCTGCCTATATATGTTCTTAGGATGGTGAGACTGGAGCAGTAATCATTCAGTTTCACCGACTGTAATGTAGTGCTAATTATTTGTGGTATGAACCTTCAAAACTCAGTCCTATATTTGTTTATGCCAAATATGTTATTTTCTGAGCTTACAAGGCCCTTTACAAGACCTCATTGACTTTCTTTTGTTTGTTTATTTCTCTGTTGGTAATAGGATACCTTTTGAACAACATATCTTTTCAAGTCCTTCCCTGTAAGGGGTGTATTGTTTACCAGTCAGTGGCCAGGACCTAATGCTTGATGAAGGTCATACAGCAGAAAGGGAAGGCAGTCTATCCCTGGTATCTGCTTGCAGAGCCAGAGAGCCAAGCTGGTCTGTTCTGTGTCAGCTTCAAACAGCTGGGATCAGCTAACACTTCCTTCTTTAACCAAAGCTCCTGTCTCATCCTTGCCCATGTTCCCAAGACATCCTTGTCAACAACCCAAATAATTTATCTCCAAGACAGAAAGATGATAAATAATAATAATGAACAGAATACAGAAATTGCAGGTTACCTTGGCAGCGGTGAGGGTGAAGGAATTTGGTTTGTAGGGATGGGCAGAAAGCATGATTTGGAAAGGATAAAATGAGCATGCTCTTGAAAGAGGAGTTTGGAAAAGCATCCAACAGGGGAGAGAAGGCAGAAGCCCTTCCCTCAGACATATGGCGGTCACTGGCCAGGGGACAGGACAATAGAGTGTCATGTACCCCAGTTGGGTCTGGGGGAAGGCACTAATGAGCAGCAGGACAATCTGACCTGTAGAGTTAGTGCCCTGTGCGGGGTATGACCCTTACATAAAGCCATGGAAAGGTGAGGAAGAGGACTGCTGCCACATTTCAGAAAGCCCTTGAACAAGGAGAGAGGCAGGGCTTTTGTTGCAAAGGGTCCATGTGGATGACTATCAAACCAGAGAGACATTCTCCTGATGCACACTGCTGATTCCCATACCTCCCAACCAGAGAAAGAGCCACCCTGATCACTGCCCTCCTTCCTGAGCCATCATATCTTCTATTTGTCCAGATTCTTCAGGAGCAACTGAGAACAGGTTGAAGTACTCATCCTCTCCTCCTCAAAGTCGTCTAAATCTTAAACTAGCAGTACCATTTCAAACCCTCCCCATCCAAACAAAAGAAATAAACAGATGGCTCCATTAGATAAAGAAATAAATAGAAGTTCACTGAGCTGGATAGTGCATCTTTTTACAGCTGTCTTGTTCTCTCCCAAGAACCACAAAGTGGTCTCTTCTTGCAAATAGCGTACTCAGAAAAAAAAGTATTTATTCCATATTCATAGAAAAATACACTACTTGTTTTAAATGTCCTTATGCTTAGAAGAATAATATGAAGTTCAATCCATATTCTGCAGCAGATTTTGAAGTGGTGGCAGGTGGAGAACAAATTCCGGATATGAGAACACAGTTCTTTGCTCAGTGCTGTCCTTCGAAGGTCAAATATAAGAGCTGGTGTCCTGGTGTTTCTTTTTCTTGCCACATTTTCCAAAATGACTGAAGAAACAGAAGGAGAGAGGGGTATAAATATGAAAGAAACAGGAAAATATGTAGTTCAAGTTGTAGTCCAAGCTGCAGTACTGAAATATTTACTTTTTACAGAGAACACTTCCTCTTTCTTTAGTTTGCACCTTGAATCAGGCAAAAGTTGTTGATGTAATATCCAAAGCCTCTGCTTGAAAAATTGATGTATAGCGCTATGTCCTCAAAATAGTTAGTCAAGGTGTAAATGTTCCCTGCATGTCTTCAGTGCAGTGAAGAGTCTCTCTTGCTCTATGCCCAGAATAGGAAAGCTGTGCCTACAACTCTTCAGCTATAAATCCATCTCATATATGACTTTTCAATGATGTCACAAATGGTGGAATTGCTTCCATAATAAAAGACCCTTCTTCATAGGATATTTTGATTGAGGTAATGGCTGGTTTTCTTGAGCAGAAAGTTACAGGCTATGCTTCGCAATATCTCTCTTGCACACTATCACTTTCTGCTTCCAGAGATGCATAGGACAACTTTGTGTCTCTATGAGAAAAAGACAGGTTTTATCCCCATGCATTTTTTTACAGCCTTCCTAAGTGGTACTGAAAAGTTCAGGTTTCTATTGAGGAAAATGCCACTCGCTCATAACATCAACCTAACTAGGGAATTTACTTTGACGCTTGGAAAACCTCAATAATTTGTGACAGTTGGTAAAGTTGGAGGAGAACATCCTCAGGAAACCTCACCCAAGTAAAAGCAAGAAAATACATCTCATACCTTGAAAGCTGCTCCACATCCTCCACTGTCTCTGGTAATGAGATTCCTTTTGTCTCTGGTAAAAGCAATACTAGGAGCCCACAGACAACTGCGAGAATACCTACAATGGACATTGAAGAAATACAAAAGCAACAAGAAAATTGTTACTTTTTTATTTTCAGGGCTTGTCTACTGAGAAAAGTTTATTCAGATTAAGTTTGAAGTAAGATCTTTCAAGTGAATCCATTTCTGATTAACCTATTCTAGTCAAACACCTTCATGCTACATTAATTTAACCCACTACAAAATCACTTGAGGGCTAGAGGTTCATTTGCAGACTGATTTCCCCTAAAGAGAGATCATAGAAGTCAAAATTCTGTCTTTCCAATTTTGTTTTCAGCTAAAGTTGTCATTAGCACCAATTTCCCTTCTTAGTCTATTCTATTGATTTTGATTTTTCCCCATCACATCTGTCTGCTAGAAGTCTGGTTTAGCCACAGACTCCCATGTCCTCGTTGAAAATAATTTTTTTTCATAGAATTACTCCTCAGGGCTTATTTTTTTCCAAAATGGAACTGAGGGAAAGAATTTTACAGGAATAAAAAGTTATGGATAATACAACATCCATAGTCATAACTGTACTCACCAAAAAACTCAAACTAAGTATTTTTTAAAGGTCATCAACCTCTACTCTTGGCAGTCTAAGCTTACTTTTCTGCAATTATAGAACCTAGCTGTAAGGTTTCTCAGTCTTAAAGCACCTCACATAGTTTCTTTTCTTTTCTGCTCTTTCAGCAAAGTTATCCAAGCAGACCTGAGCTCTTCCAGACTGTGTGGAAATCACACACATTTCACCCATTTGCCATTCAGCCTCTTGCTCTAGGCATGAAGGTCGAGAGGGGTTGGTCTGAGGGGAAGATGAGGCCACACGCTACTTTTGCCCCAGAAGAAAAGCTCTGTTAGGAGGAAGATATTTAAATCAAAAGTACATTTTAAATCAGATCTTACTGAAAATAATTAGAGGCAGCTCCAACCAAATGGCTGCTAATCGGAAAAGCAGGAATGGGGCTATTATCCCCCCTAGGTCACACAGGCTTGAACACAGGGAAACACCAAAGTTTCTGGAAAAGACAAAAAGTACCAAATATTAGAGAGGTGCTACCAAACAGATTAACCAGCAGTTTAAAGAACAGAATGTAGACTTAGCTCCAAAATTATCTCATCAGCATATGCCATTCACATTGAGCAGTGGCTATTCAGCTGGGAAACTCTGGAGAAAATCAGGTTTAACTGAATAGCAGTGAAATAGGAAATGCAGAAAAGCAGAGGGAAAAGTTGAAAGATTCGTGGGAGCTTTTGACATACCTCAGTGTTGTAGGGTACAATTCACTGTTCACTAGGTAGACGACTTCAAAAGCTATTGTGATGCTTAGTCTTCCCAGCGTGGCAACTGTTGTTTTGAGCCATGGGATATCTGTTCATTCAAAAAGAAACACTAGTGAAGTGTCCTTTGCCACACCAGCAGAGTATTTCTGAGAGCCCCAGGCCCCGTCAGCAGAAGTTATACCACAGGAACACTGGATCAGTACAAATCAGACTGAAAGGCCTGCTGTAGATATCAATCTATACCGGCATTTATTGCTTTTGAGTGTCATGTGAGGCTGCTTTGAAGACTTATAAATCACTTGAGTTGATTGATTCAAGATGCTAGGGAGCATAACAGCATGGGTGGGAAAATGAACATTATAGCTTCCATCACCGTGTCCAAATTGTGCTCTAGAAAGGAGCATTTATTTGTAGAGGGATATTATGCTGTAAGAAACACTGCTGAGTCACCTCCCAAAGCCTTCTGACCACAAGGAAGCTACCTCTAAAACTGTATAGAATCACAGAATCATTTAGGTTGGAAAAGACCTTCAAGATCATTGAGTCCAACCATTAACCAAGCGCTGCCAAGTCTACTGCTAAACCATGTCCCTAAGTGCCACATCTACACATTTTTTAAAAATCTCCAGAGGTGCTGTAGTAAAATAATTCTCCCTAGAGCTGATCACCTACTCTTTGTAATTTGTCTAGCCACTGCACATTAGACACACTCCTAATAATGCCACTCCCAGCCATCCTCCCCTTCCTTTCCCTGGTGCTTGTCTTTGTACCTGACACGACTAGCACAGGGACCTGACACTGCTCTGTTGGCTCTGCCCATCTCTCCTGGCTCTGCTCAGGCTCTGGTGGGTATGGTCTAAACACAACTAGGCAGACAGGGAGGCAAGTGAAAACAACATTCCTGAAACCAGCACGAAGGGGAACTTTGTCACTAGAGAGAACTGCCAATGATTATGTTTTCTCAAAACTTCACTAGGAAGAACAAGAAAACATTTCAGTTTGCTCTAAACCAAAATTGAGACACTTGGGTTTATTTCCCTTCCAAAACAACCAAACAAATCCCCATCAGATTTCATCCCATGTTGCAAGACGCTGCCTTTGCCCTGAAAAGTTTTGTTTTCAAAATGTGTAAGAAAAGCAAAGGCTGGAAAGAACAAAATAAATCCACATTGTCTCCCTGGCACCCCCTCAGTCCATCAGATCCCCTTGGTGAGGGTGATGTCCATGTGGCTCCTCCCTCTGCCAGGGGACTTGAACTGTACGAGCATCCCAGTGTGAGGGGGCTCTCACAGGCTGCTGCTACAGCTTTTTCCATCTGTACAAACAGGCTTTTCTTGAAAGCAGGAGTTGGACCTCAGGTGTCCCACCTGCAAGTATCTTAATCCCTAGGCTGCCCTCTCCTTACCTTGGCAGGGTCCCCTCAGCACTTCACTGTTGAGAGAAGACTGGTGGCAGCATGCTGCTGGCCCCAGGCCACCACTTTCTAACCCCCACTCAGGCCATATCACCCCCACACAATGCTCCTGCTCTAACCCTGGACCTGATGCTCTGTGCTCAGCACATGGTACCGCCCAAAATACATGAAGGTGCTGGAGGAAGGTGTCCTGCCAGAGTAATTCCCTGATGGTGCTCTTTGTTTCCTTCTCTTGCGACAGCCCAAGCTCCAGCAGATCAGGTAGTCCTCAGTCCCTGTTGTCCCAGCAGGACCTCTGTACATTTCTAACAGATAGAAAATGATGCTGGCAGATCCAGTAGGCAACGTGGTGACCACACCCTCTGTGCCTGAATTGCCATGACCTGTGTTGGGGGAGCTGTCACAGGAGGAGAATGGGGCAGCCAGCATCCACTCAGCACGTGGCAGCTCTTCTGGGATGCACAGAGGTGGGGACCAGGGGGAAATGTGCAGTTTTGTGTTGCTTGCTGGCCTTGCTTAGGTGTCAGAGGGAAATCACTGACCTGAAGAGCCTGACACTGGGAAGGGAATTACCTTCTGGCAAGAAGGCAGTAATGAGACATGCAATGCCTGCCACGATGTTGCTTATTGCAAAGGGCAGGCGCCGGCCAACGCGATCAATTGTCACTATAATTAGGAAAGCGGCAGGCAGCTCCACAGCTCCTGAGATGAAGAAGTCTAGGTATAGGTTTCCACCGACAATTCCTAGGCGCATGACAAGCCCTTGGTAGATCAGGGCACTTGCAAACCTAAACAGCAAAGGGAAAAAAGTGTTGATAGGCAAAAAAATGATTGCAAGCAGCTGGAGAGACCCTAAAAGTCACAAGGGAATCTTTCTTTAAAATCCACCACCCTGGTAACAAACTGGACTGACATGGGCACTCACCAGGCATACATCAGGATGAGCGTACACCTCCTCATCTGGGGAGTCCTCACCAGGTCAAGAAAGGAAGGGTTGCTGACCTCCTCATTGCTAACCGTGATCTGAGGAGACAAGCGAGCAGTAGTCAGCTGTCAGCGCTCAGGCAGTGGAGCAGAGTTGCTGTGTAAACACAGTGACCACCAATATTCCAGTCCAGTGAGTAAAGGTGTTGACGAGCCAGTTTGCTGCTTATAGCACTCCAGAGCAGTGCACAGATATAGGAACAGCTGATAACTGGACACGGCTGTGGGTTTTCCTTAATGATGATCATGCAAAAAATCAATAAAAAAATCCTCAATCTTAACTTGAGAATGGAAAAATTATTTCCTTGTTGTAAACTGAGACAAGTTGACCTGGATTTTCCTGGAAGGCAATAAGCAGTCATTGTCACATCAGGGCCACTGGGAGCAGAACTGCCTTCTGCCAGAGGTGGGAGAGAGGAGAGGACTGTGGCAGAAAGAGAAAGTGATGGGTTGAGGGAAGCAAGGAGAGAGGGGGTGAGCAGCAAGCAATGGGCTTGGGAACATCACTCCTGGCACAGCTGGGCAGCAGGAAGAAGAGAGGAGTGAGAGAAACTGCAGATCTGTGACAAAGCTTGGGTGCTTCAAAATATTCAACTAGTGAAATTCAGAGTCTCTTAAAATATCCAAGCACTGTGCTGAACATGGTTTTTACTCTGGGAGAAATAAAGCTACTAAGTATGAATTAATGGTCCTCATACTGCCTACAAAGTATAATAAATCTGTTCTCGACTTCCTCCAATACAGTCACAATGAGGCACTCCATGAAATCATTAGTTAGAAGGTTTAACACTAGCAAAAAAGAGCAGAATTTCACACAGTTTGTGTTTACCTATTTTAGTTCACTACTGTAGATATTGTGGAGCCAAAATATTAGCAGGGTCAAAAAGGGATTAAGCACATTGAGGGAGGCTGTTTTTAACTCTGGCCAGCAGTTTTTAACTGTGATGTCCAAGCCAGATGAGAACCCTTTTTTCATGTGGTCATTTGGCAGGTGAGGAAGAGCCAAGGAAGATAGGAAGAGGTGGTTTCAGGCAGGGACAAACCATGATACTACCCAAGAACTAGCAGACACAGCTGGGATTGCCATCAGCTCTCAAAGTAGCTGTGGGAAATATGGGCTTAAACCTGCTGTACCCTTTTTAGGAGGATTTCAGGCAGCCTGGCTGCTTTGACTCTCAGTTATTGCCCCCTCCTGACAGGAAGCCTAAGAGAGCAAAGAGAGGAGCAAACCCCTCTCTATTACCACGGCATCTGCTGCCCAAGCAGGTGCAGGAACCCAGGCAAATGATCCCAGCTAGTGGGGAGACATGGGTGAAAGGATATAGAAGCAGAAGGGAACATGCAGATCCAGGATGAGAACACAGGTAAAGGCAAAGGCATTGCCCGAGGGTCTTGTCGGCTCAGTCAGGGCTATGCCCAAAGCTTTCACCTTTATTTGTTTTTTATAACATAAGGTGGCACAGCTGTTTTTCAGTGAGATTTGGCTGGATGTTTTTACACATGACTTTTTCATAAAGCTTTTTAAGACAGAGAAGCCCCACATTTGTTTGAACTTCCTTTCTACTCCCTCTTGCTTTTCTACTGCAACTAGAAACGGAAGATTTCTTCAAATCACTACCACTTCTGCTGCATGCCAGAGCCCTTTGTGAGGCAGGGTGAGGTTGCTGGGTTTCTACACTGCCCTTGGACTCTCTCATAGTAGGGTTATAAAGCTGCCATGTCTGTTGTTTATAAGAACAGGCTGCGAGCCATCAGTTGTAACTTTGTGCAAATATGGTTTTAGTTTTCTAAAGGACTAAAGATAAATTCAGCACAACTGCTACTTATATTTATATGTCTCAATAAAGTCATAATAACTCTAAGCATGACTGAGCACTTTATGGATGACAAAAAAAATCACTATGGAAAGTCAACACTTCATAGGGGAAAAAAATCCTCTTTTTGTTCTTTGAAGTTAAGGAGAGCTTTGCTATTCACATCAGTCTAGTTAGGAATTCAGGGACAGGGCCCACATTTCCAAAGATACACCATCTGAAAACCCCAGATGAAGTTTTATAACCAACTGCCCTCACATTTTCATGTTTCAGCAAAATTACATATCAAATTTTCCACAATAATTTTAAAAGATATATAGTTCTACACATGCTTAATTCTGCATGGGACATATTTATAATACTTTCATATGTATGTTAATGTATAAAAGAAATGTCTAGGTATGTCTATATAGTAGGAAAAAATATGTATCTGTGTATAAAGGGAGGGGGTTTGATCCACAACTCTCTTAAAAAGAAGCTCCTACTCAGCTAGTTGCGGTTCATTCTGGTTTTGGACAGAGACCAAGAATTAGAAAATTAGTTTGAAAAAAATCCCCATGCTAGGATAAATATGAGCAACTGGAAAAAAGGAGTTTATAATTTACACTTAATGAGTTCTGTTTGGAGTTGAACTGTACTAGTGTCATAATTCACAGAGCAAAAGAAGCAATTGTTTTTTTCCTACAAAGGTCATCTGTGGTTTCTGCATGCCAACAAAAACTCAAAGCTGCTACATCCAGAGCCATGTAAGGGACTTGGCCAATGAAATTCATACATACGTATTAGAAAATCTGAGCCAAAGTGCGTTGATGGATAATGCCTATCACTTCTCACTTCTTCCTCTCTCTCCACACCTGCAGCACTTACCCGGAAATTCTGGAGTTGCTTCATGAAAGAGAAGACTGACGTGAGTTAATGTGAGAAATACACTTGCTCCATTATTAATGTGCTTCCTGGAGATGTTTTCTTTCCTCTGGGCACAGCAAAAAGGATGACAGGCATTCTACATTAAAAAGGCCCCAGGAACAGATCCAGTACAAATCTGTACATGTGGAGCTTAATGTGCTGCAGTTGTGAGTAGCTTAAGGTCATGAGCATGGATACTTTTAAAAAAAAATTAAATATAACTTAAAACAAAAAGCAGGGAAAACCACACATCTTCTTTATGACATGACGCTTTGAAAATGCCAATATTTATAGAGAGGAAGTGGGTGTAGCAATGCAGGGCTGAATGTGGAGGGGAAGCTGCAGCAGCACAAGCTTCCGGCTACACGTCTTGGGCCACACTCAGCACTGGTTAATGCTGACCAGGATGTGAGAATCTCACCGGTGTATATGCCCCAGCCAAAGACAATAATTCATAGAATCATAGAATGGTTTGGATCAGAAGAGACATTAAAGATCACCTAGTTCCAGCTCCCTTGCCATGGGCAGGGACACCTTCTACTAGACCAGGTTGTTCAAAGCCTTAACCAGCCTGGCCTTGAACACTTTCAGGGATGGGGCATCCACAGCTTTTCTGGGAAACCTGTTCCAGTGCCTCACCACCCTCACAGTGAAGAATTTCTTTCTAATATCTAATCTAAAAATGCCCTCTGTCCATTTGAAACCATTGCCCCTTATTCTGTCATTTCATGCCCTTGACAATTGTCCCTCTCCAGCTCTCTTGTAGGACCACTTTTAGGTACCGGAAGTGCTCTAAGGTCTCCCTAGAGACTTCACTTCTCTGAGTTCAACAACGCCAGTTCTCTCAGCCTTTTCTCATAGGAGAGATGCTCCAGCCCTCTGATCATCCTCATGGCCCTTCTCTGGATTTGTTTCAACAGGTTTATGTCCTTTTGTAATCTCTTGAGGCTTAACAAGGCCAACTGCAAGGTGATGTACCCAGGTTGGAGCAACCCCCAGTGGAATGAACAGATCGAGAGCAGCCCTGCTGAGAAGGACTTGGGGGTGCTGGTAGATGAGAGGCTTGACATGACCCAGAAAGCCACTTGTAACCTGGGCTGCATCAAAAGCAGCATGGCCTGCAGGTCAAGGGAGGTCATTCTGCCCCTCTGCTCCACTCAGGTGAGACCCCTTCTGGAATACTGCATCCAGCTCTGGGGTCTCCAGCACAGGAATCTTAGAATCATATAATGGCTTGGATTGGAAGGGACCTTAATGATCATTCTAGTTGTCCACATTTGTTGTGGCTGAACCATAAGGCCAATGCCACAGTAATCATGGTCTGAGAGCCAAACATTGCTACCCAGCGCAGAAAAAGCCAAATGCTGCAATAACACAACAGTATTATTTGAAATGCATCAGTCCTTTCTGTCAAGACCACTTGCCAAAGGACTGTAACATATATTGCCCTATTTTGTAAACAGCAATCTCAGAAAGATCTTTCTCAATTGTGAATTTTGTGAACATATTTTGCCCCTATTAGGATGGAAGTAAATTTACACTTAAATTCTAATTTCATCTTCTCTTTGAGCTGTAAAAGGAAGTTCTAGAAAAGGAGCCAGGAAAGTGGATCCTGCTATCTCCACTTTCTGTCAGCACTCACAGCATCTGCTGTGAAATGCCATTGCCCCTCAGGCTAGTTTCTGATATTTCCCACAATATTTTAAATTAGGAGTGTTGCAAATGAAAGACCTGATTCATTGTTTTACAAATTTCTTTTTTTCAGCCCATATAATTCCAGCCAGTTCACTTTTACCATCTTGCAATTAACAAAGTAAGTGTGAGACTGACAAACTTGTCCTAGTGTGACACATCACAGAGTGTTGTCCATCACTTAAAAAGAACACAGCTTAGAAAATCCTCTAGCTCAAACAGATGACTGTACCTCTGAGTAATGTGGTGAGAGAAATTTTCCATTGTGTTTTGCAATGCTGCGCATGATTTTTAATGCCTTCTCCCCCTTTTTGCGTGTAAGGAGCCAACGTGGAGATTCAGGAACCACCCTGTAAGAACACAGAATTCATAAATAGAGCTTTTACCCTGTACCATCATGAGTAAACCAAAGTCTTTTGTCTTTTACTCTGTGTTAGCACAAAATACATAATTTTTCAGTTTTTGTGATATAGAAACTCTTTTGAGGACTGCTTTTCCAGTCAGTCTCCTGTAAAATATGTGATCCTTGTGGACAAGAAAGAAGAAAATAGACTATATCAATGCTCAGCAAAGCTGAAAAATAAGAAATCTAACTATTGTATTTGCACAATGCTTGTCAAAAGTATGATACCCAACAAGCAAAGAAGGTGCCTGTAGAACAGCAGTGAACAATAAAAGTCAACGCTAAGAACATGTAGTAACAGGTATTGGCAGATCAGGAAACTTCTAGTTGTATATAAGATAGACACACACTCAAATGTATACATATTTTATAAACTGAACACAAAGCAATACCACCAACAGGTGTTTCAATTTCTGCTAGCCTAGAGTTAAGATGATTAACAATTTAAAAGTTCACAGCAGGCAACATTTAAGGAAACAATGTGTAGGAAGAGGGTATGTGGGTTAGTTTTGCTGGATCCAGCCCAAAGGACAACCACACCGAGACAGGTGTTTACCATGGCATAGCATTCCACTTTCTCACTGGGACCTGTAGGGCAAGTTCAGACCTGAACTGAATAGGTAATGAGAGGTACAGGTGGGATCTCATGGCTGACGGGAAAAGCAGACTTTGGTCAAGTTAACCTTATAAGCAGAACAGGGTTCTGTGAAGGACCAGCTGTAGCTGATCAGAGAGGCAAACTCTGGGCAGAAAAACAAAAGTAATGTATGTCTGCGATTCACTGATGAAGAATTACAAATGCAAATATCTTCTTCCTAACCTACAACATCTTCCACTCTGAAGACTTGGGACCATAACACGAGTCTTTAGGTGCTTGAATAGCAATGGCAATAATAACAAGAGCAATGACTGCAACATTACCAGTAGTAGAGCAGGAAGATGAAGTTGGGCAGCGAAATGGCCAGCTGGAGTCCCTGCCAGGTGGGAATCAAGTATGCAATTCCAGGGAGAATCATAATCCCCAGGGTAAAGAATATCTGAATCACAATTCCAACAATCCTCTGATCGGAACCAACGATCTCTGTCACTGAGCAGAGAGAAAGCCAAAACAAACAACATAGAAACAAACTTAATTCTAAAGAAGAATATTAGAGGTGGAACACAAGGAAAAATAGTACTGTATCAGGTCACAGGTCTGTCTAGCCCAACATCTTGTTTTCAGCAGTGTAAGCATGTCACCAAGGCTGTTCAGGGCCAACACAGGTGACACCTCCTCATCAATTCAACCACCATTCTTCAGTTAGAGGGTTTTCTGACTGCATGTTTACTACTGAATTACATGGGGCCAGAAGAGGGGTTTAACGCTGCATCATGATCATGGGTAGTGGGAAATTGTTAGTAGTCTCCCTAGTACAGTTTTAGCACATGCTCCAGACAAGAGGATCTTTCAGGCAGGGACTCCAACCAGCAGGTGATACGGACAAGGAGGAAGAGTGTTTAACCATACCTAATAGCTGGTATAGATGGTTGCTGTGAGGGCTAAAGTATGATTCAGCTTGGTTTATTTCCTAGAATGATTATAGACTTTTTTTTTTTAAATCTTTTGACAGATTTTTTATTTTGTGAATGTGTCTGATCGCTCTGAAACCTATGCAAACCCGTGGACAGGACATCCACAGTTGAGATGAGCAATGTACAAAGAAGTGTCTCTTGCTTGTTCCAAAACTATCACCACTACGTAGGCTTCAGAATAAAAGCAGAGGGGTTTATGTCGGTTTACAATACATAGAAAACACTTTTCTAATTTATTTTACTAAAGGAAAAACAATTTTACAGGTAACATTGATTTGTTTCAGCTGGCAACGCAGTGAAATATGACACCATGACTATTTTCATTAACCATTCATCATGTCTGCATAGCTCAGGGGTAACTTCATTGCCTAAACATAGCTGCTTACACTGTCCCAGAAAGAGCTGGGTTGTATATAAAAGCAAAGGGAGGTTCTTGGGGCAGCCTGAAGCATAGATCAATAGCTTTGGGGATGTATTAATGGCAACCATCCTCCTTGTGCAACCAAACCTATAATCTGTATACGCCTCTTAAAAGATATTAGGTTGGTAAATACTCTGGGGGATCCCAGAATGTAAGAGTAGATCCCTGAAGGAATTTAGAGGGAATCACTCTCTCCCAGAGTTATGCACCTTGCTCAGAGCTGTGGTAATATACTGTGCCTCAGGATGTCATATCTCAGAACCTCTCCCTAAAAAGTCAGGCAGTCTGATCTAAGCATTGAAAAACATTCTGTACTGTTAAAGCTTGGACATTTTAAGGATGCCATGGGTCTGTCATAAAACATTTTGCTGGTTAGAGCACTTGCCAAAGTTTCAGGATAAGATCTCAGTTTAAAATTAAGCAGTTCTGTTCTTTCACTGGATCTTGGACTTTAGCTGCTCAGCAGTGTGACATTGTCCAGAAAAACAAGGTGCTTCTGGGCTTTAGATGCTAAGAGGACTAGATAGGAATGTTTGCACATACATCACCACAGTGGTCACAGGTCTCACTGTATCTGTTACATCTGGTTGCAATTCTGCTCTCATTCATCTAAATTCCGCTAGGAATTTTAAGAAGTTGTCATGGGCCTCACAGAAAACACCAATGAGACAAGTTTTTGCACTATATAATGATGTTTTCACTGTGTTTTGTATTATCATAGTAGATTTTTGAATGGCTGATTTTCTTTTTAAGTAAATCTGACATTCCATCTCTAGTAGATGCCTTCCTCAATGTCTTGCTCTTTCATGCCCTATGGCTGCCTTTCTGAACCTGACAGTCATTCAAGATGCCAAAACAATATCCTTTTCTCGTGAAAAGTAAGCTTACTATGTGAGGAGTTTCATTGCTATAGGCTGCAGACTGATAGGCTATAATCCATCAAAGACTCCGTAACCCTGCTCTTTTGATGCTATTTATAAATATGCTTCCTTATTTTTCCCTTTTCAGGAAATAATAATTTTAATATGGACCCTGGTGTCCTGTCTGACACTAATCAAAGTATCTAAGCTAAAGAACGAAAGCAGCGATCAATCATCTGTCCTCCCGGTGAGGAAAAGCAGTTAATTCCTCTGAACACCTGTGGGAGATGTTCAGACTGCCAAAATTAACCATGTCCTTGTTTGTGAATCCAGTTTATTTTGGGTTTAATCTGCAGATTTTTATCATCTTGGTGATCTCCTATGTAATAAGAAAACCTTTATATATGCATATTCCGTTCCTTCACCTCTTAATTGTTGGAGAACAAATGCATTAACTAGGATGGACTTGGGTTACTCATTGTCTGCTGACACCAGGGCCAGTGCTTTGTTAACAAGAAAAAATATCAAGAACAGATATAGTCAGACTGTTTGTACTCCAAAAATTCCTCACTTTTCCTAACCAGGAAAGAAAGAAGATTACAGCTCTCACCAATCACGTAGCATGTCATCCAGGTTCCCTTGCCAAACACGCCTTGGAGAAAACGAAAGATCAAAAGTACAGTAAAATTTGGTGCAAATGCCACTATGATACCACATATCCCAACCCCAAGACAGGACAGCAGGTAGATGAGGATTCTGCCATATCTGTTGAAAAAGGAAAAGAAAGTGAACATCATGAAAAGACAAAGTTTTTTCTTTTTTTTCCCCTGACATTTCATTTTAATGCTAGATCTGAAAGTGCCTTTTTGACACCAGTCTTTTCCAAAGGGTGGTTCTTTAAAACTCTGTAGGGTTGGCCCTTGGAATACAGAACTCTTTTCCCGATGGTAGCTGTCACTATCTTTACGTCACTAATTTTAAAACTGGTGATGCCCTCACCAGAACCCCTTTTGTTTTAGAAAACTGATTGTCTTTTTGTACCTAAACTATGACACATATGTTACAATTCATCTTTTTGATCTGATCGTGTTTTGGATAAGGGCAACTTCTGTTGGGAATTTCTGTTTTCGCAAATTAGTCTCCTAATAATAATTGGAGCCAGCTGTAGGAAAGTCAATCATTCCTACTTTAACTGCTCCATGTGATTTTCTAGGTTTTGTTTAGGTTTCGACTGCTTCTTTTCAAAGTCTGCCTAATGTATTCATGAGTCTCATTTTCCAGCAAGAAAAATAATTATGTGCCCAAGGTAAGCCATAATTTAAAAAAAAAATCTCCCCGCAGTTTTATAGCAACTGTGTCCTGGAACAAAACTAGATCTTTTCTCCATTGTTTTTTTAAGAAGAAGAAACTGTGAAAACTGATATAGTTGTTTATATTACCATAAAGTATTTGTGACAGTATTTGTTTGTTCATTTTGTTTCATGAGAAGAATTAATACAAGACAAAAACCAGGCTATTTTCAACCAGGTCCATTCTTTTGAGTGCTGCCAAGGAGACTAATGGTCTGGCTGCAGCACATTCCCCCAGTGCTGTCAACGTACAACATTCATAGTTCTACAGTACTTACATTATGCTCAATAAAGAAACACTCCTAGATATATTATTTTATTTTAATAATTAGATATAATATCTCTGCTCTTTCACACTCTTAAGGCACTAGTGTCAAATTGCCCAGCCAGACACTGAGCAGAGATATCTTAAATTAGTCAGTGCCATGGCCTCCTTTCTGCCTTGTTTTTTCCCTTTTTATCATATCACTTGGAAAGATGAGGTTTTCCTTAAAAGTACTTTTGTTCGCTAGTTCAAAATTTGTCATCTGAGATGACATTACGGATAAGTCTTTAAGTATTCCTGCCTGCAAAGAAATGGTACTATAATTTATTATTATTAATTACTGCAGATTTGAAAGAAAAATAAAACAGGCAGAAAGAAAGTATTTTATGAACTGAAGAAAAATACTCTGCCATTGAAATAATCAGTGGTGCTCTCAGTCAGTGCATAGGTTGACTACTGTTAAATAGAGTAAAAAGCACAAACTAGGCTCCCTTGTTTACTTTCAGAGCAAAATAGAGCTTATGGGAGCTTCCCACTCTGGAGTAGGTTAGCTACTCAAGCCTGAATATCGCCCATGTCTTTTCAAAGAATCACAGAACTGGTAAGGTTAAGAGAGACTTTTCCCTGGTTTCATCCAGCCCTCTCAGAATTGAGGACCAATTGGCAGGAGCTATGACCTCGGAGGTAAGCATGTGAGTCCAGCTTATGAACAGAGAGAGTTACCACATTGAGCCCCTTCCTTCTTTCCTCAAGTAGCTGCTTGCTTCATCAATGGTGCCTCTTAAACATCCTTCAGTAAACATCAGTCTAGGAAACTCCTCTGAATGCTTCCTTTCTGTTTCTCTGTCTTTCTGCCCTTCCTGAGTCCAGATGTGCACAGGAAACATTGGAAACCACAAGAAAAGCTCATTTCATGACATTTTAAGGTCCAAAGAGGATCAGTAAGTAAGACTGCATAAAGTTTCCAGCCCAAATAGAAGCAAAGATTACATTGGCTGGGTTTTGTTAACACGGGTTGGGGACGTTTATCCAAAATGAATTAAACCTCCAAAATGTTGACACATACCTATCACCTCCCAGCAAACCAAATGATAGCAGAGCCTATACTGTACCTGTCCGCAGCATAGCCCAGGATGAACGCACCAGTCAGAAACCCCAGATTGAGGATGGCCTGTGAGAGATCCAGCATCCAGGCATTGCCACACACAAGATTATACTGTGGGAACAAGGGAGAGGCATAAAACATCTAGGTGGGTTATTTGTCATCCTCAGGGCTAAACATTATAGAAACTGCATAGGTCCACACGGGAAGGGGAAATGGAAAGGAAAGGCGAAAAGGGAATGGGAAGGGTAAGTTCAAATATGCTTGCTCAACAGTAAGCACTGGTGGGCCAGGAAAGCGCAGCCATAGCAAGACTCTTCAAGTGGTTGTGAAGATAGAGAGAGAGCTCCTCCCTGCCAAAAGGCAATTGTCACATCAATTGTCCAGATGTGGAAAGCAAATTGCTCTTCTGCAAACAGTGCTGTTAAATATGTGGCAAAGTCATAACTTTAGTGCAGATTAAGGGTCCTCAGCTATTGCCAGTGAAAACATCAGCTTACAGAGATAGCTTAATTATTTTTCTTAGTGCCTTCTAGATAAAAGCAAAAACATGTGGTCTCTGAGGAAACTGAAAACAGATCTCAGGTCAATTTCAGATACATTGAATATGTATTTTCTTTGTGTAGCTTTCCCATACTTTTCTATTCTTTATACTGCAGCATCCATAACTCCCTAGCACAATAATAGAGATGGGGATGATGATGTGTGGGGGCAAAGGGAAGGGGTAAGTCATTATGGGGAAAAAAGCGAAGAGACTAGGAACTAAAACAAAACTAAAAACAAAGTACTTCTGTGGACAGCATGGCACTGGAAATTACTTTAGAGGTTCTTGGAGAATAAAGGAATACTAAGCACTGCAGACCAAATGGAAGCTGGGAGGTTTCGATCCATACCTGGGGTAATCTTTGGAACAACGAGGCCTCGGGACCAAGGCAAGCCACAGACAACAAAAACTGCCACTATTTACCCTAGAGAAACCCTTTTGCTTTCAGGTATGAGCTGAAAGGAATCTTTTCATCGCTAACAAGGGGGCTGGTCACTGTAGCACACACAGTGTACCACATTTGTGCTCACCAGCACATATACAACACCAGTGCTCAAGCACTGTGCTTGAATGGAGTAGCCACAGGGTGAGCTGGAATGATTAACAGCCTCTTCTGCTATTCACAGTTCTCCAGACTAAAATTTAGTGTCATGATCCTGAGCTCCATCTCAGCCTATTTGCATGCTGAGTAGGTAATGCCCAGCGAGTATTACCTGGGCCTGAGATTTCAGAGATGCCTAACAACCTACAAGGGGCACCTCCTGGGTTTCCAACCTGATAGATATCCCATCTCTGCTGACTTTAAATAAAGTCCTGGTTCTGATGCCAACATCATTACTCCAGGGAGTTTGACTGACCACCTTTCAACCAAGTCAAGCTATCAGCACCTGGCTTCCATTTCTGTAAATCTTGAGCAAGAGCTGCAGAAACTTCTGAGAGGAATAAATGCTGCTCTCAGCTGTCATACTCAAGGGCTATTGCAATGCTTTCCTAAAATAGCCTGAACATGGAGGAGCAATTTCAAATGCTGCTTAACCTCTTGCTTTTTGAAACTATGGTGATCCTAGCAAATAGTATCAAAAGGTGCAGCTTTGGAAAACAGCGGGTTTTTTATGAGGATGATCATTAAAAGAAGATTTTTAGAACACAATGCAATTGCCTGTGCTGATGGCAGAGGTTGGGACTCTCTTTGACCCTTTTTCAAAGAATACATTTATTTTTTAAATAGTTTAATCTCTCTGTACTGTAAACAGGCAATGAATAAACTGTCATGAAAGAAGGCAGGAGAACGAACAGGGGAAAGTATCTTTAACAGAGAGGACTCTTTCGTCTGTACAGCTATTTCCTATTATTTATGTGGCAGCTGAAACTAGCCCTTTGCTAACAATATAGTCAAATATTGTATTATTCTACTAAACAAGAACGTACAGAAAACTTCTAAGGAGCTATGTGCTCTTTCTGAAGCTTAGTGACAATACACTATATTCTCCTAAGTTAGTCCTGCACTTTGTTATTTCTAAGTATTAAAATAACTTGTGGTACAGATAAGCATTTCTGGTTGCTTGACGTAGCGCCCAACATTTAAGTCATCACCCTGCTAGTGTCTTGTTTTTCATTTGCAAACATAACCTTCAGAGGGGAATGTAACCTTTAAAAGAGAATTGCACAGCCTGCAGAGATCTTTTCTTTACCCAAGCCACTTGTCAGACCCACTTCACTGCTTGAGCTGTGACCTGGTTTGGTTGTGTCTGAAAGTTATCCCTATGGAGGAAAAGTATCAGCAACACCTTACCCAGAGTCTTAGACTGCCTTCAGTTAGTTAGTATTCTCCTATATGACACTTCTTCAAAACACCTCCCATGTTCCTTGCTAGAAGGCTCCGCAAAAGGTACTGGCATGGAGCCTCCTCTCTGTTTCTGAACCTTCATATGCCCATCCATGCATGGGCTGATGTTTACACTTCTAAAACATGCTAAAACATTTATTGCAGTGGCAGAGAAAAGGATATGGAAGAGTAAAGGAAAGCCTTAGGTTTTTCTTCCCCTCATCTTAAGCCTATTTGTTAATCTGTGGTGCTGGCTACACCTAGACCCTGTTAAAACCCAGCTAGCTGGCTCCTGATTGCAATCATCAAAGGTGATCTAGCTCAGCTGGCCAGCTCCAGATAAGGGCACATCCTCTCCTCAGCATTGCTATGCTCCTGGCTAAGCCCCTCACTGCACAGGTGCAGGCCCCCAGAACAGCCCTGCAATCCATCTCTGCATTCAATTCTGCACCTGCCTGATTGATTTCTATCCACTGTATGACACAAAGCATTGTGTGCCTGAACACAGCCCCTTTCCGTTTAGGTTGTTGAGTAAAACAAGTTGCACTGCCCAAATTGATAAAACATCCCCTTCTTCACTGCTTTCATCTTAGTCTTGGCAGTGAGCCGCTGTCAAGAGGCAGTCAGCAGGAACCAACTCCTTCAGGACATCACTCTGTAGCATCCTTAATAGACCTGGGAAAAACAGTTTCTTCCACCCTGCCAGCCTTGCAGTACAGGTTGCAATACAACCCTGCTTGGAAATACATCCCTGTGGTGAACAATTTCATACCTGCTAGCAGCTTGAACATCAATGAGATGTTCAGATTTACAGTGGCACTGGTGTGACTTGAAGGAACAGTGCTGTTGTGTTTGCTGATCTCTACAGCAGCAGAAAAGCACCTGAGTGAGATCTCTCTGGGAGAAGTAAGAGGTTTTGCACTAGTTCCCTGTAGCTCATTAGTGGTGTAATATCTGTAGGAAGGAGTGGCAACTGGCTGAGATGGGAACAGAAGAAATGCTTGTACGTGACTAATGACTGGGAAATATGGGGCTCTGGCAACTCATTTCTTCATAACTTTGGCAGAAGGCAAACATTTTACACTTTAGTTTGACATAAAGACTAACCACAAACTTGTAATTCCTGACGCTCTAGAGACCTTTAGTCACCGAGCAAGTCCCAAAACACTTCAGCACACCTATCCCTGGAGAAATATATTGCTTTAAATAACAACATGCCATTAAAAGCTCCTCAAAATGTAGCAACTTTGAGGAGAAGTTTCGAAGCACTTTACTGCCTGTTTCAATTAAATTTCAAAATAATGGATTAAAGCCTTTGGTCTATAAAGAGCTCTACAGTGACTGCCCAGCCCAATTGCAACAGCATATTGAGAGCCCACACACGTTTTAAATGGCATTCATACAGGTGGCCAAACAGAGAATGGTTTACCCTTTGACTCCCAGTGACAAACTGTTTAGGGCAATACTCACCGTTTAAGGAAACCTGGGAAGATGTAGACTGTTCTTGCATGTTCCTTATTTGTTGCTGGGCAGTTCTTCTCCACCTCTTTTGTCCTCTGGCCTTTCAAACTGCTATCTTTCCCAAATCCTTACTGCAACAAACCCCCCTGCAAGTGCATGCAGTGGAAAGGGAGAAATTACCTTCTTTTTCTCTTTCTTTTAAAGCTTCTGTCAGAATGCTAAGGGACAAAGCAACAACACTGTCCTTCTTCATGTCTTGTTTCAAGCTGAGCACTCAACAGGTCAGATGGAGTCAGTCTGTACCCTGCTGCCAGGGGTTGGGGCTGAAGCCCTGAGGGACAGATTAGCGTTTAAACCTTTGCATATTTCTCTCCTATTCATGGCCTAGGGCCCAGCTGGTACCTTTGTGTCCCTGCCACTCAGATCACCTCATTCATTGAGTCTCCTAAGAGAGAAGACCTGTTCTTTCTTTCTTCTTATATCTGTCTAGGGCCAAAACAAGAGGGATGTAGGGAAACTCACCACCTCCTAAAGGAGGAAAAGCAGCAGTTGTACTCAAAACAATAAGAAAAAAAAGCCCAAAACCTCAGCCAGTGCCAGCAGTCTCAATGGCAGTGGCAGAAACACAGCCCCAGTGGCACAACCCCTGCAAGCAACTGCTCAAACGCCTCTCATACAGGGAAAGCTTAGTTAAAGCTTCAAAAGTAATTCAGCAATTGCTGCTCCCTTTGCTCCTCTGTCTGCCCTTTTCCACTTTCCCGCCACCAATTACTATTAATCCCACCATGACAATGGAAAAAACAGGGTACGGCCATGCCAGTAACAAGAGTCATACTAGATAAACAATTGAGGGTGAATTGCGTTGCTTATTGCCTTGGAGGAGGATAGCAAAAGGACCAGCTGTGCTTTCTCCACCGTGAGTTTGGCTGCCATATTATCTCCTTCTCTGAGTGACTATAAAAGCTACAAGACAAACATTTTTGCTTTCCTTATGGGTTTCTCTGCAAATGCTGACTGTTGATTTCTGAGACAGCTGGCGAGCAGAGGATTAAGGAGATTGATTCCCAGCAGGTGCATAGACTGTGTTCAGATGATCCCTTGTACACCTCAGACCTCACACTTTGGCAACAAATTACTGCCAGGTCTCAAAATGACATCATCTACAGCGTTAAGACTTGCTGCAGACAGAGCATATTGGAATCTGCCCCTTCTGCTGAACTTCTCCTGAACTTCTGCCAACAAAGGGTCTAATAAATGCTGCCTAAAATATGCCAGCTGTTCTGTAGTTGCTGGTGACCACATAGACTTCCCTTTTCCTTTCATCCACCACCACTGGCCATTCCACCTGCAGACACAATTTTAGCTCGTGCCCATGCCTCTAGGAGTCACCAAAACAAAAAATATCTGAAAAAAATCCCTTTGCACATTATTTCCAGACACCCTATCGCAGAGTGATAGATTTATCTCCACTGGGATAAAAGAACATAGTGCCAAAGCCCATCAGTATTAAAGATCAGCGACTGCCTCTTCAGCATGGTTTCCTCGGAAAGTTAGGTTTATTAACTTCTGTATGTCCTGGATATATATGTCCTTCAAAAGGCTCACCCAGAAGGAGACAGCAAGCAACACACTTCCTGTTTCAAGTGTTATGGAGCTCAGGGAGTGAGCTGGGCTCTTTTCCAGACCTCTGTGCCAGACCATGAAGCTGTGGCCCTCCTGGTCCACTACAGCCCCTCAGCACCCCTCCTCTTCCTCCTTCTCCATCTGCTGCTCAGAAACATAGGCCTTTCCTGCTCTCCTCCCACTGTAAGAGCTGCTGCTGTCACCAGCCTTCCCTCCCAAGCAGTGCCAGCCACCTGCTTTGACCAGCATCATTTCAGGTGGCACCAGCTGGCATGAACCTGGAATATATTTAGCTTGATAATTACCCCCTCAGCCCTCCTCTCCAAGCAAAATCTGAGAAGCTACTGCATTCCTATGCTGCATCTGATGCATGCAGCCCTGTCTTCCATTTTCACAAGATGTGCAAGACCCACTCAATCAAACTGGAGCAGATTGCATTTGGCCAAAGTCCTCTGCACAGATCCACCACCTGCAACACTGCTGTGTCTTGAAATGATAGCTCAAAACCTTTGCATCAACCCAAATCAACCCAGGTCTGGTTTGCTCAACTTTAATTTGGGCACCACAGCAATGGGCTGTGTGTGCAGCACCAGTGGACAACTACTCATCTAACCTGGATTGCCCTCACAGAAAAGCCTAACCTAAAACAGTGGGGCACAGAGACCCTTAGGTGTGCCACTACAGAAGTAGGGACCTACTGTCAGAGACAGTTAGACATCAAAAGAAGACTTTGAGAGGGAATCTTTAGCAATGTTCTGTTGCTAAATGTTTAGCAATATTCTGTTTTGTTCTAGATCAAACTAGCTGGCTTAGCCATGTGCTCCTGTGATGATTTCTTAATACAATTTGCTCTTCTCCCAAATGTTGAAGGACGAAAGCCCTGGTATGTTCTCCCAGCATCCTGCTGTACCCCAGCACTGAGAAGCAGGAGTCCTGCACCAGCAGGTGATGCAGCAGGCATCCCAGGTGCTGCTTACAAAGTAATGTGTGCTTTTTATCAATCCACATTCCCCTTTTTCTTTTGCTTCCTTCTGCTGATGCTTCCACAAAAGCCTTTGCAGTAGACAGCTAAGATAAGAGAATGGCAAGTGAGCAACGTGATCAATGAAATCAGGTACTGCAATGCCATTCATTTCACAATTCCTCATAAATCAGTCCATTCGGCCACATGATTTGACTTCTGAAAGGTGCTCAGAACTTATTGCAGTAGCCTGTAGTTTGGCTGCCAGATCTGCTGTGTGATACGACATCTTGTCCCAGAGAAACACACACCTGCTTTTGCCCTCTACCTCCCCTGTCACAGCACAAATCCACACTGGGTGTGTGCATGCCATAGGCGTGGAAGAGCTCCTTCAGTACACTGACTTTTTTTCCCTCTCTTCTCTTTTTCTCCCTGAACATATGTCTGTGAGATTGTCACATAACCCATCCTTTCAACTTTGTCTCCTTGGTCACTTCCACTGTTGATTCAGTGAGACATAAAGTACCAGAAATCTTTAGTTGAAAGAAACAAAAATATTTCTGCACATGTGGACAAAATGAAGCATTTGCAAGCAGATGGATGAGAACAAAAGTATTTGGTGAGTTGATTAAACAGAGCAAAAATGTGCCTAAATTGAGTCACACTTTGTTAGAGAAAACTCAGCTGAGAAAAAGGACACTAAATTAAATCTGGGATTTAAATTGTCTTTGCTGAATGTATAACTCATTAACAAGATATCAAACTCCTTTTAGTAGCTGATCTCAAAGCAACTGAGCCAGGACATGCATGCTACAAACTTCCTTTTTAAATGAAGAAATCAAGCATTGTAGGATGTGATTTATCCAGAAAATGTTGCAAAACTGGAAACTGGTTGCAAGTGCCACAAGTCATAGCCCAGCACCCCTCATCCGAGGTGCACCCAGCCAGCAAGACTCTAGGAGTCACAGTGACACTGATGGTGCAACCTGCTGCCCCAGCATAGGGTAGAGACAGTCCCAGCCTGTCTCTCCTTGCAGACTGTTGCTCCACAGTTTTCCCAATAAGCACCTTTGGGGGCATGGGTGGGGAGTGCTTCCCCAGCATCCCTTCATCCCTTCTCCCTGCCCTGGCTCTGGAGAGTCTCCCCAGCAGAGGAGAGGGAAGAAAGTGCAGATGGGCAAGGCATTTGTCTGAGATCATTGAACTTTTCACTTCTATTTATTGCTGCAACACAAACACTGGTTATCTTCTCCCTTACTGTACCCAATGGCTCACTAGAAAATCACACTGATTTTGCTGGATATACAAATTGCTGCCATAAATGGACTCTGAGCACCATCTTATAGACACAAACTACATGCTTTCATCTACAGCAAGGCTGAAGGGGGGGAAAAATTATGAACAAAAGAGGAATCTCTATACTTTTGTTTTTAAGGCGTAGCCAGGCTGGAGCTCTCAGGCAGCATTTGTCCTCCTGCCCACCCAGTCCCAGCTACCACTGCCAGCACAGGCAGAAACACATCATTATTAGGGACCAAAGTTTGACACCAGCTCCCTGCATGTCATTTGTGGCCCTCTGAGCAGCCTTGATTTCAGTGATCACACACATAAGCCAGTTCTGAACCTTTGCCCAAGGGCCAGGGCCAGTCAGGTGCTCCGATTTCTCTTTTCCTGAACACAGACCCTGGCTAAGCTGCTCAGGTTGTGTATGGTGCTGAAAGAATGAAGCTACTGCTCTGGAGAGACTTAAGCCTACAAGTGGATAAAGCAGTCTCAGCTGGATGGGAAAAAGATGATGAATTGAAAAGTCAGGATAGGCATCTCTTTTCAATTCAGTGTTTGCTCAGGGCTTTGCCTGCTGTGCCCTGCTGTGTGTTTTGGAGGACACAGCACTAGTGCAAGTACCCAGTTAAAAACCACAGTGGGAGGCTCATGAGACAGAGAGGAACTAGAGCCCTCAGCTGTACTGACACATTTTGCAGTGCACCTTGATGAGCCAATCCTTCTAAGTACATTGTGTTTTTCATCACTGCATGAGTGACAATTACTGTGTAGGATGACCTTAAAATACACACTCCTAGTGTGTAGACTGTATTTTGGAGCCAGACCACAGCCCATCCACATGATTACAGATTACACAGAGGATCTCCTAGGAAAGCATCTCCAATTGTCTTTGCAGCCTCACTAGGAAACCACTACATTTGTAAGTGCTTACCACTAGTGGTAATAGCCTGTGGTTCTCTGATACCAACATTCAGGAAAAGCTGAATGATAGCTTTGGGCAATAATGTGTGTTTGGTTTGGTTTTTTTTCTTTAGTAAGCACAATCATTTTTGCTGACTCCTGCCAGATCTCAGAAGGACAGTCTGCCACCAGTTGTTTTTTGTTACCTACAGACTTAAACATTCAGTACTGGAAATACAAAGAACAGATAATATACAGTGATCCAGGTGAGCAAGTACACTTGGAGTTTACAGCATCAAAGTTTCTGGCCCAAAACTGAGCATCAGAAGCCTCAGCTGCAAGGCAAGACTTAAGTCTCTATTTTAATCTGACATTCCTCTAGAGACAGAGCAATCTCTGCGCAGGGTATTTGGCTTTGCATGGGGTGCTTGGCTTTGGGTAGCCACCTTTCAGATCAGCTCACCTTTCCCTAAAAGCCTGATGCCAGCACTTGATCATACTTATTGTCCTGATTTGCTTATGACTCAAAATGAAACAAATCCAGAAAAGAAAACCAGCCACCAAAGTAACGACCCTCACAGTGCCAATCCCATTTTAATGCTGCAATCCCACACCAGGATGGATGCTGCTAATTAGAGGATGGGGGTTTTCCTTACCTCGCTGATGAGGGATGAGTGGGGCTGTTCATACACCCAGTTATCATGGCAAGTGGTGAGTGGCAGGTGGCCCATGCTGTGATTGCCATAGTGGGCGAGTGAGCTGGCGCAGCTGACGGAGTCATCCCATGCGACATCCAGCCTCTCACACTCCCCGCTGGAAGACTTGTTCCCCAGGTGCAGGGGTAGTACTGTGAAGTTTCGTTCCTCTTCCAGCGTCCAGCCACATCGTTTACTTAATTCAGCTGCCCCAGGGATCCTGCACCAGAAGTTCTCTGGTGCCCGCCCAAGGAAAACCACGCTTGCAAACAGGGAAGAAAAAGTTATGCCTGTCTGGCTAAGGAGGAAAAAGACCCTCTTTTGAAATCTTCCGAATTCCCCAGCTTCCTTCAAAACCTCATCAAAAGATGGCATTATGTGAGGTGGTCTGTCCACACAGAGACACAGAGACACGCAGAGACAGACACGCGGGTGTGCAGCGCTGCCGGTAGCATGAGCGAAGCCGGAGCGGGGCGCAGCTGCAGGCAGGCCACACGTGAGGAGACTCAGGGCATGTTAAGTGGCACAAGGCTTACACACGGCCGGGAGAAGTGAGAGCTAAAGAGCGCAAACATATTGTAGGAGAGGAGGGGCGTGCATTTCCTATTCATCCCGAATGTTAAACAGATTATGTAATAAACCCAGTTAACTCCTTCGGGGCCAGTGAGGCGCAAATGCCAGCTCCCACTGTGGCTGAGATAAATAGGTGCAAGGATAAAGCAGAGAGTTAAATGGAAAAGAGTGCAGAAGCTGTTGTAAAAAGCAGCAGCGAGTGATGCAGGCTCTATGGGATGGCAGGGGCAGGAAGAAAGTTGTTCCAAAGAGACCTATGATCTTTCCTTCAGCAAATAGAAGTTAATACTGTGGTGAAGTTTAATTACTTCTCCAAAGCACTACTTCAGTAACTGTACAGATTTATTTTGCAAGAGCCTTTCCCTTCTGTAGCATAAATAAAGTGAGTCACAAACCACAACAATTTAAAACCTACGCTTTTTCTTTTAAAATTTGATCTACCTGTTCAAGAAGGCTTTTATATGACCTTGCTAATTTTCATTTCACAAAATCTTCCAAATATTTAAGAGAGAAATGACAGTGTTTCTTACTCAAAAATTAATGGAAAACAAGTTATTTCACTTTTTTACTCAGCCATTTGTTTGAGGGTGGAGAGAAGGGTGCATTTTGTGTGCATGTGAGCACATCTTGTGCAGAACTCCCTAAATCAAATCAGATATGCAACAGTGTGGTTTTTTGGGCTTTGTTCAAGACCATGAGGTCCATGGCCACTCTATTTTATTGTGAGAAGGAGGAAAGGGACAGCACCTATCAAAGATGTTTCCTGTAACACCTTGTCTCTTTATCTACCACTTTGACCATGTGTGTCTATGGTTTTGAAGCAAAGTACAATTTCTAAACCAGTTAGATCTAGATCAAGGAAGGCTTTGATTACAATACAGGCTATCTGACATGAGGTTTTTACCAGACATGAAGACTGATGCTGTGCCATGAGCTCAGCAAAAATGTAGATTACTAGATGGGTGCACTGCTGTGCTTGTATCAGAACATGATTTTAAGGGAATTTTGTTTGATGCCTGGTTATGATGTTTTGTAGTAATCAAGCTTAGAGGCCATGAATGCATCACCTTTGGCTCCAGGTCTGTGCCTGAGGAGGTGGGGAACTCTGAATTCAAACAAGAGAAGCTCTTTTATCCCAACGGGGCTAGTTAACTAGGACGTCAATCATGGTGAGATGTCAAAGGTAACATGTTTTTTTCTGACAGCTTCCAGTGTTTAGGGAGAAGTCTCTGTAGAGACCACCACAAAGATACGAAATGGGGACAGAACCTGATAATCAGCCTGTGGACTGCTCTCACAGCTCTGCTCTAGGGTTTATTAAACAACCACTGTTCTTCGAGCCTTACCCCAATAAAAAAATGTTGCTTGTACCTCTGTTGAATATTACCATAGAATCATAGAATGCTTTGGGTTGGAAGAGACCTTGGAGATCATCTAGTTCCAACCCCCCTGCCATGGGCAAGGACACCTTCCACTATTACACTAAAGAATACTAGCTCAACTCTGAATCATAAGGGTTATTCCCCTGTATGCCATGTATGACTGTAGCTGTGCTTGGCATTTTACCTGTTTCGGAAACCCATTGGCCACTTCTCATCAGTGGAGTTAGACCAGATTCATTTGAGGGAAAATTCAGTCCACTTTTGCAACATTGCTTCTGGAGCTACTTACTTTCCCAAAAGAAAGCATGATCTAGTGGCTGATTGTCAAAATTTCACACATCTCATCCATTTTGCTCTTTTCATGCATAGCATATGCATTGCAGTCTATCAGACCAGAAGCCAGAAAGCCTAGCAGCTGAGAGAGATCAGCACTAAGGTCATGGCAGCAAACATCTGGGAGTCTCCCTAACATTCCCCACAGCTACACTGCTGGTCATACAGGCAAAGATTCATTCAGCAAAATCATTTCAACTGCCTGGCATATGTGATGTCGAAGTGACCTTGGTTCCTCAATGTTAACCTGTGTTTTCAGTTCTCCGTCCAAAAAAGCGCTTATCAATATTTGCCACCATATCAGTGCACTGCAAGGCTCCAGTTTGTCAAAGAAATCTAAAATATCCCAGTGACAGCTGCATGAGAGTGTGCATTAGTGAATTTATTCTATAGAAAGCAATTCCCAGCTTCCACATGGTTTTCCTGGAACTTTAGTTTTGCATGCTGTGAGAGCCGAACACATCTAAGGACAGGAAGATGATGGGTTTGTATACAAAGCCTGTAACTGTAACCTTATGAAAGAGTGCCTTAAAATCTTTGAAGACAGATCTCAGGGTCAAAGCATCATTTTAAACATTTTATTCTATGCATCCAGTAAAAAATTATGCTTTTTAATACTGGGAAAGAAGTAAGGGAAGAAAGAGCTAAGGAAGATGACCAGTGAAAAAGTCAGAAGCAATAAAAATAGATGTGGAGAACATAAAGAGAGAGGGGGAACAGTGGAAAGGCAGCAAGCCAGGGAAAGAGCAGTTGCAGAAGTGGTGATGAAAGAGGAGCAGAGGAGAAAGAGATATAGAAGTAGAACTAAATTACAATCATGCACATCTTCACTTGAAGCTCTGTTTAGAAGCCCAAATGTCACAGCTATTTCAGGCACAGAATGAAAACTATGTAGTGTAGAGAGGAAGGCACATACACTCCCTGTACACACGTGGCACTAGACTGCCATTTATACATGCCTAGATGACAGCATGAGATATTTGGATCAATACCTACTCTGACTGAATCCTAGAAAGTTAAAACTTTACTGCAACACCCTGGATAACCTTTGCCGGTGCATCAGATAATCACTTAAAAACCTCAAAGTCCTCTTTGAGACACTGTAGGCAATGGGGCAGTGACATCAGCCACTTTGCAGGCACCTGAGGACACCATCCTACATAACAGCACTGATAGAGTTATGCGGTTCCATGATAAAGTTACGCAGAAAGCCCCTACAAACATATGCCTCTTGCTAAACAAAAGAGGGCCTGTGAACAAGCTTGGGCAGTAATCATTCACCCTGACTGTTATCTCACTGCTTGCTAAAGCTTCATATTGCACCAAATATTTGTCCCCCAGACAAAACTACCGAAGACTAGATAGCTCTAAGCAGCAGGGGTGCAAACCAGTCAGCTTCACTCCTAGGGCCAGGAGACTGCCTACACCATCCTTTTCTTCCACTCTCCATGCCAGGAGTAGGGGTGGGGATCTCCACAGCCCTGCATTTGGGGACTACCCATGCCTACCCTAACTGGTGACCCTGTAGAAGAGACTGCAATAGGGAGCCAGGCAGTAGCAGCTCAAAGTACATTGCACAGATGTTAATGGCAAAGCTTGGTTCACAGCAGAAGATGACAGGAACAGAAAAAATATAGGAGCACAGTGTTGGAGATTAAATAAATAGTGGATTTTTTCAGATCAGAGTGAGCCTCTTCATGGGCCAATTAGAGATGTTTACGCTCCCCTCTCTCACACATGGCACAATTACATTCCAGGTCAGGACACTAAATTACATGCAGCTTTTTCTGGAGAGTTCCTGTATTTTGGCTTTTTTTGCTGTTTTCTTCCCCTTCACTTTATTAATCTTTCTTCTTCCTCCCACACCCACTTTCATCATCTTCTTTTATCTCCCCCTTTCTCTTCTTCCACATTTCCTCTTTTTCTTCCAAAAAGGTGGCAACTCTACTCAATGAAATATGTCCTTTCCCAGGCCTCCAGCTCAACTTAGTGAGCTGTAGGCTGACTTGGAGACATGGGAAAAGTCAATTCCAATCAACAGGGTTTCCACCTTTTGGCAATTCATGAAAGCAATGCACAATGCATTATACTCCCCTCCCTCACTATTTCCATGGACTTTAGGCTATTTTTACCATCTTGGCTCCAAGAACAAATATAAAGAAATTTAGTTCTAAGAACTGTAGCATACAACAAACAACAACCAGCAGGATCTGTACTCATTGCTAAGACAGCAGCTGAAACAGCAGAGGAAAATGGGGACATGGGAAGAGAAGGGAAAATCCAAACAAGGAGGGGGGGAAATGTAGAGAGTGAAAGGAAAAACAAAACAGGAGCAAAGAGGTTCCTGTTTCTCTCCTCACAGGAGAGGAAAAACCAGACCAGTAGTGGCCACACTGAAGACAGATCGTATCTGTCATTTTGAGCACATGTAGGTAAAAATCTTACAGCAAGAGAGGAAGCCATTCTAAATCTGTAGCCTGTGCTCATTCTCACAGCCTCTGCTTTTCCTCCTGCTGCCACAGTGCAGAGGATGGGAGGAACATGGGGTTTAGGTGCCCACAGCCCCTCAGGCTCCCCCAGACACATTCCAAACAGCAAGGTCTCCCTCCCTGACACAGCACACCTCTCCTTGCACAGGCTCTTTCTTGGTGTAAAGCATTCTCTGCTGCAAGGCAAGTGGGATTCTGGTGGGTCTGTGCTTTATTACCCAAATCCAGTGCTGTTTCACCACCACAGTGCTTGCAAAGTTCCTCTTTGCCTGTTGGAGAAGATCAGGTACCACACATTTGGGTGCTTTCAGACAGCCTTCCTCACTGACTTTAAACCTACTTAGGGAAAGCAGCAGAAATACGTGGCACTCCATGCACATGTGGGAACACCTGCTTGTCGGGATTTCAGCTCAGGATCTGAGACAGGCTGAGAAACTGAAAGGGCTCATCAGATTCTCCAAGGCCAGACGAAGGAAGGGAAGACAGAGGAAAAGGGGTTCCTATACACACATTTTCACAGTCTATATATGGCTTCCCTCATCCTTTTGCTCTTCACCAGTCACTCTGGAGGCCAGTGGAGAGGTTACACCAGGCTCTACCTTCCTGTTCAGATAAATATATCCTAATCCCACAGCATGTTTATCAGGATCCTTGCTAATGGCTCAGAAGAAACAAGTGTTTCAGCCATAAGATTAGACAAGCTGAGTTCACCAGAGGCTATTTCACACAATG